AAATCCCCGACAGTAAACTGATGCCGCGTTCTCTTTATGACGTACTGACACAAAGTTCAAATGATATGTAATGGTCACTTTGTCGCATCCGGTGTAGACAGACTTTGGGGCCGTTCACATGTCGTGGGTGGAAAACGCCAGCCGTGCTGCTTTCTCCTTCTTTCCAAAGGGCTCGGGAGCTTGCGCTTTCGTGGAGTCTGCCGTTGCTAAGCGACCGTGAACCGCGCTCTCCGCGAAGACGTGGAAGTTTCAACAAAGGATAAATGGATTTCCAGCACTGACTGAAAATCGCATGCTGTAGCTCTGCTACTAAATGTATTTAGAAATGTATTTTATCTCTGTACAGCTGTCGCGTCCGGTGTAGACACCGTGTCTGTGTGTGAGCAAAGAAAACGATAAGTATAAATATAACGATCAGTAGCCTATACTAAACATCGCACATCCTGCGATGTGACTATCGCGGATGCGCACATCGCGATATCGATGCTGAAACGATATATCGTGCAGCCCTAATTGAAATTATAATTGAAATTCAAATTCATTCAAACCCATAACGCATAAGAAACACATGAACTTAATACAGTGTATTAAACAAAAGTGTGTTTTCAAAATTCCAAATTTGTGTTTCCAGTGGTTGGTAATAAATATATATTAAATGAAGCCGTAAAGTCAGTATATTAACAAAGGACCAGTTCTTGGTTCATTTCGAGTCAGACTTGACTAAAGTAACTCTTTTGAAGTTGCGGTTTAGTATGCGAGTCAAATGAACAAATTAACTAAATTTTTGCAAATGTGTTTGATTTTCCAACCATTCATAACACTGTGTCTACTCCGGGCGCAACAGTTGTCACTTCGCTCGCGCCCGGTGTGTAGACACAGTGTAAGAGTCATTTGGTCTGGAATCAGAATCTCCTCGGGGTTGTATGTTTTGCGCTGTGGATTCAGTAGTGATGTTGCGGTGCCGCTGCATAGTAGTAAGCTACAGAAAACTCTTTCAGATAATTTTAGTATGGTATTTCAAAGAATGATTTGATCAAATCAAATAGGTTTCCTCAAGAGTCCCACACTTTGCCGTTGGCTGCAACAGCAGGTACTCCTGCCCCAAACTCACAACACTGGAGCGGAGATGCATCCAGGTTTTGTGATTGGCTAACACACTCTGTTAAACAAAACACGCTGAAAAGTGAGATGTGCAGCAGCACTAACAGTGACTGACCCCAAATTTTTTATTGATCTTTGTTGTAATATAATGTTTTCATATTTATATTTTGTCTAGTGCTTCACACACTTTACTGTAATTGGGTCTAACGTTCTCAGGAATTTTGCCCTCGCAAATAATCGGTCAGGATTCATTTTTGGTATATATATTTGTTGAATTTCCGCAGGTTCCAGTGCTGGAGCAGGCAGCGGTGAATTTCATGTGTATAGACATCTGCGCCGTCGGGAATATCAGAGACAAGACTTCCTGGAACGAATTTCTGAAAAGGTAGCTTTATTTTTGCCTAAAGCATATGAGTATCAAATAATGAATTACTCTAAGAAAACGTGAAAATATAAGGTTCTCAGAATTGTTGCCAAACAGTATATGTGTGAATGATATGTATATTACTGTAGATTTAAAAAAGTCTGTGTCATGCTTATTGGTGACATACAGAGCACAGTTTTTTTTTTTCCCGTTCCCAGTCCTCCCTGAGATTGTTTTAAACTTTAAATAACTGCTGGTGAACAGAAATAAATCAAGTGCTTCAGTGGAATGTGCGTCCGCCCGTTATTTGGAGTGGTTTAAATAACAGAATTTGGGTGTGCCGTGGATCTGCTCAGCTCTCCAGCTCACAGGTGCACAGGACAGACATTTGACTGTTGCTGTGACAATCTTGTGAATTGAGCAATATTGAGTTGAATTTGTCAATGTAATATTCCGCTGTGTGATGCATTGTTCCCCACTTTTGTGTTTCTTTTGGAAACGCATCAAAAATCACCTCCTATACATTTGTAACACCAAGTTCCTCTCTCTTATAGTGTTGTGTGTGAGTCAAATTCATTCAAGTGAAATTTGATTGAAATTTACACTACTGTTCAAAAGTTTGGGGTTGTAAGATTTCAAAAGAAGCCTCTTACGCTCAGCAAGGCTGCATTTATTTGATCAACAACGTAGTAAATACAATAATATTGTGAAAAATTATTGCAATATAAAATAAACTATTTTCTATTTTAGTTTGTTTTAAAATTTTGTAAAACCATTACTCCAGTCATCAGCGTCGCATGATCTTTCAGAAATCATTCTAATATGCTGATGCTTGGTGCTCAAGAAACATTTACATTTTTGTATTAATATTTAACATTTGCTGCTTAATATTTTTGTGGAAATGGTCATGCATGCTTTTGACTCTTTGATGAATGGAAAGCTTAAAAGAACAGAAGTTATAACAACAAGAACAATAATAATAATAATAATAACTTTATTTAAGATTAAAATCATTAAAAATATATATTTTGCCAACACTTTTTGCATAGAGTTTTGGGTCTTGAATTTGGCCCGTCTTTTTCCAAATAAAAAAAAATAAAATTCAAAATAAAGTACAGCTAGAATTGGTTCACAAGTAATTCGTTTTACTCTTGCAGCAAAAGCTGGATGAAAAATATATTGAGAAGGTGAACGAAAACCAAAAGGCTGCTGAGGAAAGAACGGCCAAACGCAGAAAAAAGAGGTTCGCAAAATACTGTCTCGTTTTTGATTCAGATACTTTAGAATCATTAGAGATCTCTAAGTTTATCTCGTGTGTCTCTGAATCTCAATTGTTCTTTCGTGTTATTTAGGGAAAAGTTGAAACAAAAGATGTTGGCCAAGAAAGCCAAGATGGAGAGCCAGAAAGAAGGTAAAGATATTGAAATGATCTTATAAATTCACCCCCTGTTCATGTTCTGTCAACCCCAGCAGGAAGACACCTACTAAACAGGAGTCTCTGAACACTTATGTAAACACATATTTTATAATGCTGAAATTATTCATTAATTGTAGTTAATTGAGCTGACTGATTTGTATACGTTTTCTCTGTTGTGTCAAAAAAGCTAAATAAATCCTCTGTGATACAGTGTTGTAAAGTAAAACCATCCGTGGGGTGAATATTTATTGAGCACTATATTTAAAAGTGCTATTTATGAATGGCAGCACAGGTCATCATAATCATAACTGCACCTCTTGAATTTCAGCTAGTGAGTAATAATGTTTGTTGTGTCAGCAGGCTCAGAGGAGAAGTCATCATCCTCTGCTTCTGAAGCAGAAGAGCGAGAAGATGATGCAGAAGTGCCCAGCTTCATCATGGGGAAGAGGTGACTGGATGAAAGGATGGACGTATCCAGCAGATACTACCTTACAATGGCAGAAACGCCTCCAGCAGTGAATATTTTCTGAGCTGTGTGCTGAAAACACTTGAAGTCAGTTTGAAATCAGTGTTTCAGGAGCGCACTCATAATTTGTGCTCGAGTCAGATGTTCAGCACTTGAGCTGGACATTTGAAAAGCTGGATGTTTTTCTTCGCTGGAGTGTTGATAAAATAATGTGACCAGGATCAACTTTTGTTCAGTTGTACATGTTTTTTTTTTTTTTTAAATAAACAGCAAGGGAAACAAACAGTGAATACTTCCGGTTTGCGTTTCAGTGCATCACGCAAAAAAAATGTTCACTGTCCTTTAACTGTGTGTCCTTTCTGAATTCAGATTGTAGTAGAAAAGAAATATATATATATATATAATTTTTTTAATTTTTTTGCAATGAGTGTAACATTTAATTTCATATTTTGGTTTTCCAATACAAATATCTAAACAACCTTAAATCAGGATACATATACTCAAGATGCAAATATAAAACGAAGTCTTGAAAAATTTATCAAAAATAAGTGAGTTTATGCATAAAACAAGAAAATAAGCAAAAAAAAAAAAAAACCTATATAATTTTGCTTAAGTAAATGTCTGAGACCATTCCTTGAATTTTGGCTGTTTTTAAATGTAAACCTGAAACTAAAATGTTGCTCTTTTTAATCATTATTTTGCACACCATTTTTCTGGCTTTGTATTTATGGACACATAATAGTTTTTGAAAGAAAAAAAAATCATTTGTACACGCAGGACCATTTAAAATGGCAAATAAGAATAATAAAAAAAATACATAATGGTTCATTTCAGGATTTTGACAGAAATGATCTCTAATCGTCAAAAATCATTTAAATTGACAGTAATCTCTGCATTTAAAAAAATAATAATTACTGCGAGAACTAGCGGTGTAAATGTTCATTGGTCACTAATGGACCCTGTTGTCATGTGTACCACATTCCTTTGAAGCACATGTGAAAACAAAAAAGCCCTGCATTATTCTCTCCACCCTGAATTACCACTTGGCAAATACTGTTTCACCACAATGGGATTCTGGATATTGTTTTACTACTGCGTCATTATTTCAACTCACCCGTCCAGTCTTTGCAAATAATATGAATTCTGAGTTTTACATGTTCACATTGAGGCCTCTAACAGAGAGCGAACGTTACAGAGAAAATGTCAGTGACTTATACCTATAAACAACGGATCATTTGCTTCATGTCTAAGCAGGTCTGGTTAAGCTGGTTTTAACAACAAACACAATTTTGATTATTTGATTAGAAACACTTCAGAAAGTTGCCGGAGCTGCAGAATTACACAGCCTAGTTTGTCCTAGAAAACCAATATAATGGCATAAATGAAAAACAAAACGTTTTGATGCATGTTACGTTATTAATTACCATGGGTGCTTTGCCCTCAAGACACTAGGAATCGAGTTTTATTGATATGTTGTATGAATAAACACGTGTCTTGTGCCTGTTTGGTGGGCATTAAGTCACCAGTATGTGGAGGGTTTGTTGACTTTAACATAAGTCATTCAAACAGCCTTTCGCTCTGACTTTGCTTTATTTTCCATTCAAGTGTCAGAGAGTTTGATCACATGTTGTGACTTTACAATTTCGCCACCTTGACATTGTAATTGTGGCATTGCCAATGAAAATGTGTTCTGTGCTATAAGATTAAAGCCGAAAACATTTTAACATGATTCAAGCATTTTTCACTGCCTTACAATGTAGCAACAGTCAGTCTTTGGAATTTCAAAGCACTTTTTATGCCTAAAGCACCTCCCAGTTTCTACCTGGGATTCACACACCCTCATGAAAAACTCCCCCTCCCTTCAGCTTCTTTTTAGAGGAGATGATTAGTGTCTGCCAGGCACATTACTGAGCAGAGACACCATCCAGGTTTGATTTTACTCCCGATTTTATTCATTAGAAGCTATCTGCATCCTTGTTACAAGATGAACATAAATGCAGTGATCCATTTGATGTCATTGCTGTCTATCTGGATGCGGACCGGAGAAGGTAAGTGCATTTTAGCCTTCATACCAATGTCTGTTTGTTCTTTTTATATGGTGGTTGGTTACTATAGAGATCTGGTTTCTGTGTTCATCACAAATGCACTTAATTTATTCTTTAATTATGTTGTTTACCTTTTAGCTCAGTTTAAATGGAGAGAGGCTTTCTTTGATAATAGCTCATTAAAGACAGAGTAAAGTGCACACAAATATTCCATTACATTTTCATCATGTTGGATGTCAGACAAAGATGATTACAGAGTAATAAGCTAAAAATCTTCCTCCCGTTAAGTAAAAATACCCTGGCAACTATTATGAACAAATGACTAATGTAGTTTATAAAAAGTTACTGAATATTTGTACCAATGGCCCGCTGTCTATGTCTATATATATATATAGTGCAAAGGTCACTGCTAAACATAAAAAAACAGAAATATATATATTAAATATTAATATCTAATAATAAAATATAATGTAGTGATGATAAACGGGGACATGGAAATTGGCTAATATTCCAATGAAAAAAAAAACTCTTGTGTGTGTGTATGCAGAATCTGTTAAGAATTTTAACAAAGTAAAGAGGGATCATAAAAATCCTCCAGGCATAACGACACCGCATTAAGAATCAAACATATTTAAACTTTTAAATGGGGTCATTTTTTAAGCTATTATTTTGTGTTGTGGACTATATTTGTTATAAATAGCTTATTAAGTCATTAATTAGTAGTATGTCATAGGATGTCACACTCATCACACATTTTTTAAACGACCTACTACAGAGATGAATACAGATATAAAAACCTCCAATGAAGCCTTTTCTATGTCATGTTCATACAAGTTGTAAAAACAGAATCTATATTGAGACTCGAGGGAAACACACACTAGGAGGCTAAACTGAACCTGTACGTTCTGTTCCGTGGCCAGTTTTCCATCAGTACACCTGTAGCACTGCAGTTACAGTATTTGGGGTTGGTAGGTGTTACACAATCCTTTTTCCCCAGGACAGGGTTATGAATCAGACTGAACCTGCTATTATTCTGTCACAGATTTGAATGGGCATCAAGTTGGAACAATGAGGTCACTTTAAAAATGGCTCTTTAAAGTCTTTTTCTCTGTCTACAGGTCAGCTATTCCAGCCTGAGCTCACACCTAATGCTTTCCTAGCCACTGTCACCAGCAATACAGTGATACTGAAGCAGCCGTATTGTGTATTTGATCAGACGTGCCCTGGCTGTGAGATATGGCTGGTGGCTGGGCTGTGCTCAGGTAAAACGTCTTTAGAAATTGTAATAATATTTCACAATATTGCTGTTTCATGTATTTTGATCAAATAAACACAGCCTTGTTGAGCATAAGAGACTTAAAAAAATAGATCTAATGCAAATTCTCCCATCTGTTTATACTATCAATCCTCTTTCACCTTTAGCAAACGGCATCTTTGATGCTCAAGTGAACAGCTCAACTCCCAACATCCTACCCAACAGCATTCAACCCATCATCAAAGAACTTCTTTCTAACCAGAGTTGGACTTCTGTCAGATTTCCCCTGTAATCAGTCCTCCAGTGATCGCTACTTCATAGTCGGAGCTGATGGGAAATGTAGTGGCATCAACTGTAATGGAGTACTTCCTGATAGATTCCCCGTTTGGTAGGACCTTTTAAGTGTATTCTGCAATGTGAATCTAAGAAACTGTTTAACATAAAGATCCAAATCTGCCATTCTAAAACCCATTAGGACATTCGTAAGGTTAACAAAAGCCAATAAAACTTTCATTTTGATGTCATGTGGTCATTAGATAACTACATTTAGCTCAACTACAGTGCTTAGCGATGATAAAACACAATAAACAACTGCCTAAAATGTCCACCCCCATTAGCGAAATTTTGCAGGCAAAAAAAGCTAAATTGTCTATTGTCATTAGTGTAATGTATAAATTACCACTCACACAGAAGTTACTTTTAAACTAAGCAGCTTTCTGTTGAAATTTGCATGACCAACTAGACCCAATGCCAAATTTGCAAGCCAGTATATTTCACCCTCACACCAAATTCCTGATTGCGTGGATTTCTATTGAAATGATGGGATTTTCACCAAAACATTCACTAAACAGTGGTAAATGTTGACATACTGTCAATTACCTTTTTTTGCACACCAAATTTTTGACTTCAAAGGTGCAAAATTTTAGTTTTGTCACGTCAGGGGAACAAAGGAAACTCAAAGTCAAATTAAACACAGGAACCAAGGGATACTAGAACAAAACAGAACATACATGTGGCAAGTCGGCGAATGGACTATTTGCACGAGCACGGGTACTGCTCAGTCATTTCCGGTCAACTGTCAAAATCAGGGGCAAGTTCAAGCTCAAACCGGTGTGCACCGTTTTGCTACGGTTTCCGGGTTGAACGACATGTTTCCTGGATACGGTGTGCAACGGGGTTTGAGATACGTTTTCTCTTGTTTGGTGGGTGTGTCAAAAATGTCAGCCCAATCAGCAGCAACAAAGGGCAGTGACTGTAACATCGAGCGTATTTTGCAGTACGCTCGAAGTATAAAGTACTCAATCAATTTATACTTAAGTACAGTAAAATTGCTCAAATTTGTTATAAATAGTCAATTTATAATAAACCCAGAAGCAAGACTAGGGAGTTGAAATGGCAACTGAGCTAATGAGTGATACTCTGCTGCCATCTACTTGTTATAATGCTAATTTCACGTCATTTTCATCTTAAAGGAGTAGTTCATTTGCAGAATGACAATTCTGTCATCATTTACTCACCCTTTACTTGTTCCAAACCTGTATGAGTTTCTAACTTCTGTTGAACACGAAAGAAGATATTTTGAAAAATGTTAGTATCCGAACAGTTGATGGGGTTTGGGCACCCCTGATATATCATATATTATTTTTATTGTCATATATTATTTCTTAATGGTCCAGATGTAATTCATTTTTCTAACAAATTACTGAATCTTGTCCATCCAGCTGTACCAAAAACTATTTTACATAGTCAAAAGGGTGTTTTGACTGCAGTTTCAGTAACTTCTTAAACTCTAGACTTGTGTTTGCTTTTAATGTATTGAAACTATTTCTCACTTACAGTTTCAAGTATCTTCTAATCAATACTAATGGGACTCTTGTTAATTCGTCGAACTGGTCTGTCAACATTACTCTTCCCAAATGTAAGAATTCATATCAAATCATTAGAATTATTGCTAAGTAATATTGGAGTCATCCTAATAGCTGTTGGAGTTAATAGATATCTTAATAATCTATTCGTACAGTACTAAACCTTCACACCATTAATGATGGTCTGAGTGCGAGATCTGGTGCCATGGTTGTTATTACTACCATCCTATGTGTGGCTGCGGCTCTGCTTTTACTTCTTTTCCTCATCATGTTATGCATAACCTGGTGAGTAAATCACATTTAAATCACACTTGTATACATATATCACAGGGGTGCCCAAACTCGGTCCTGGAGGGCCGGTGTCCTGCAGAGTTTATGAACTCAATCCGTATCCCCCGCTATGACACCCACAACCTAAAGGAGAGCGTGCACCCCTACGACAACCCTGCTTACCAGTCGGACATGAAAAATTACTCCACAGCCAGCACTCTGCCCAAGGATGCTGCAGAAAAGCTGTGAGCTACCAAAGACACCATCACTGCTGCACTGCATATTCCAGGGGAAACCAAATTACTATGGAGTATCTTCTCTTTCAATATGTTACAAGGCAAAATGGAGGACAGAACTCATCAACCGTATGGCACTTACATCATGCATATGTTTACACTGCTGTTTGGCATCTGAACTGTTTCCTGTGTAGTATCAAACCAGAATGGTTGTGCTGAAAGTTAATTTTTTAGCCGTCATTTTCCAGCGTTTTGTAAACTCTTGTGGCCTCAGTATTGTTTGTGATCAAACGAAACAGACGGAACAGAACGAACAGAACGAACAGAACTACACTACACTGACTGCAGATAAGAGAGACATACAAAATGTGCAGAGCAACATGCAATTTCACTAGATGGCGCTGTTTAGTAACAGAAAATATGTGGGAGCGTGACGGTCATTCCGTAGTATTTAGTGTTTTCTAACCTTCCTTGTCTTAGGGGTCAAATAGGCTTAAATAACCTATCATGAACGCCAAACCAGGTGAATTTGTTTCTTTTAACTCGTATTATACTGAATATCTTTTATAATTAATTTTCTTAAAACTTTTTTATTACAAAAAAAGGTAAGTAGGTAAAAAATATATATTTTTTTCATGTTTAATCATGATTAGTCTATTAGTTAGTGGTTTTATAAGTCATTTTGCTGTATGTTTACAAAGCAGTTACCCTGGTCTAATCATCGAGTTTAGGTTAAAATGTTATAAATGTAGGCAGAGATGGTGAAAGTACACACATCCTTCACTCATGTAGAAGTACAGATACTCATGTTTAAAAAGACTCTGGTAAACGTTGAAGTACTGACTCCACTTTTTTATTCAAGTTAAAGTAAAGAAGTATGGCCTCTGACATGTACTTAATTAAAAAAGTAACCATTACTACAATGTGTTTTAGTGTCACGCTGGTAACTGGACCTCACATCATATTAGTACATTAATACAAAAGAAATTACAATTCAAATTATGTTAGCTAATGAATCCAGGCTGAACAACCGCCATGTAGACCACAAGCAGAGAAAAAGCTGAGGGGGAAAAAAAACTATATGCCATCACCCTAGGCCACATCCTAGATTGTGATTGTGCCTCTTGTCCTTGGAAACGACTCAAAATTATTATAATACTTTAAACAAAATTGAGGTGCGTTATACTGTAAATTTTATTGAAATGCAATCAAAGACAATGGAACCTTTTCACAAGACTGTGATGAAACGGTCATCAGCATCGTAACTCCTTTTGTATTTTCATTTTTTTTTTTAAATATATGTACATTTATAACACTATACTTTGTATTATATTACCTTCGCATCAAATTACAAAAAACACTAATGTGAGGTTGTTTCTAATACAGCGTCTATGGGAGAGATGGTAAATTTGACATTGTTTTTTTTTTAAATTTTTTGAAAGTCATGAAAATTGCAGATGTTGTAACTGGTCTGGAAGTTTTTTTTAATTTTTTTTGATTGTTAATCACATTTTATGCAGAAATTATGCGTAAACAGTCTTGGACTGTGACAAATACATTTTCTAAAGTACAGCCATTCCATGTTTCTCAATTAATACAATGCCATATATGTTTAATAATTATACAGTCAGCTTTTAAGGAAACATCCTAACTGTCATACAACCTCATAAGCAGTGTTGGGAAGTAACTAGTTACACGTAATGGAATTACGTAATTTAATTACAAAATAAAAGTAACTGTAATCAGTTACAGTTACTGAGAATTTTTTTTAAATTAAATTACAGTTACTTATGACAATTTTAAGGATTACAAAGGGGGGTTACATCTGATTTTTTTCACACACACTCCCACATACAGATTTAATTGATTTCTTTCATAAATTGCAGCGAGTGCTCTAAAATATGAAACACCAATGTTTCAGGAGTTTCTTAAAGCAAGTTTATTACACATTTTGGGAGACACAACAAATGAATAGAGAAATTATATATCAATATTCCTATTAAATAGTAGATATTATTATGAAAATCTAGCTAATTATTACTCCCATTATTTGTTCATTCTATGTTGCCCCAAAAACACATTAATATACAAACTAGATACAGTTTATAGATAAATTTTATATAATGGAAAAAACTCGTTTATGGCCATTCACACATTTTGCATAAAGAAATATGGTTTGAAAAATTACGGACTTCGTACAACTGGCTGAGGGTGGAAATATGCTAATATGGGACAGTACGTCAGTGGTCGTGGGAGGGGCCTGAGCAATATGACATCATATTGGCTTGATAACTCTTTAGGTTTTTGGGAGGTTTAAAAAAAAGGAG